TCTGGTGCAATGTGTGAGTTGTTGTACAGTTGTAGGGAGTATTATCTGTCCCTCTATAGTCTGGTGCAGTGTGTGAGTTGTTGTACAGTTGTAGGGAGTATTATCTGTCCCTCTATAGTGTGGTGCAGTGTGTGAGTTGTTGTACAGTTGTAGGGAGTATTATCTGTCCCTCTATAGTCTGGTGCAGTGTGTGAGTTGTTGTACAGTTGTAGGGAGTATTATCTGTCCCTCTATAGTCTGGTGCAGTGTGTGAGTTGTTGTGCAGTTGTAGGGAGTATTATCTCCTCTGTCCCTCTATAGTCTGGTGCAGTGTGTGAGTTGTTGTACAGTTGTAGGGAGTATTATCTGTCCCTCTATAGTCTGGTGCAGTGTGTGAGTTGTTGTACAGTTGTAGGGAGTATTATCTCCTCTGTCCCTCTATACTCTGGTGCAGTGGGAGAGCAGGAGTGTCCACGATGGAGAGCAGTTTGTCCAGTGTCCTCCTGTCCCTCACTGCGTCAAATGTCTCCATCTCACGGCCGATCGCGTTTGTCCATCCGTCCAACGTTCGACGACCCGGTAGAAGATCTCCAGTAAAACACCCGTCCCATTGTAGACCAGTCCAGATGGAACGCAGCGAGGAGGATTTAGTAGCTCAGTAGAAGTTCAGTCCCTCCCCTCTTTCTCCGTCTCTCTCCCCGTCACCCGGGCACCCTCTCCCACCTGTGCCGTCCCTCTGAGTGCAGTGGCAGCAGCAGACACTTGGCAAACAGGAGCACGATGCTATTAAAACAATGAACAGTGTCTGCTCTTGGCACCGTGTAATCTGGAACATCATTGTGCGTTGTAAGCCAGCTCACCTTTATGTTAACGCTGATAAGACTCCACAAATATCAGAGCGCTGGCAGCTTTGTCTGGGTTTAGTTACAGTTAAAAATCTTGTTTGCGGTCCACTGTTTGTGAGATATACGGCGGTAATTAGGTTGACTGGGGCTTTGTTGAAGTGCACGGAAGGTTAGACGACACTTTTCACAAAAACCAAAAAGAAAATGTTGGAGTTTTTCAGATTTGGGGAAGTTTAAATGTTTCTTTTGTACATTTCACTAAATAGTTACAGGTGCACTATGTAACGTTTTGGTCAGGGGTCCGTCACCTGCTTGTTTCTAAGGATATGTCACTGCTCTGCCAGGAATGTTCCACAGTATGGCATTATTAAACAGCTCTACCTAGGGCTGCTTGATTATTTTAAAAAAATCATTATCACGCTTATTTTGGTCATAACTGAAATCACGATTATTCGATTATTCGGCATTTCTCTCTCAAAAAAAACAAAACACTTTTTTATTGATAATTTACGCAAAACTTTCAAATTGAAAATAAATTCAGGCTACAAATATGTACCTTAGAGCAGTTTTGAGATGTATAAAACATAAAATGAATAAAATATACTTTGAACATGAAATAAGGCATAGAAAAATATAAATGTATCCAAAATAAGCTATATATCCAGCTGTTCTACAATCTCTATAGTTAAAAAAATAAAAATAAATATACTTATTTATACAAAAAATATCCCAAAATAAACTTTGTTAAGCTTTAAAATATTTCATCTCAATTATATGAGTAGGACTGTAGCAATAACCGCAAAAATGAATTTCCACGGTACTAAGAGGCCCATCGCGGTGCATGTTGGGCCACCGTGATCACCACACGTGACCAAAGTGACCCGACCTAGAGTCCTGCATGGGTCCATTTTTAGAGACCTGCACCCACCCGGGCCCTTTAACATTCCACCTGTTACTGCCCGTGCCCATGATAACCCAGGAGTAACCCAGGATTAAGGAGGGCCCTTGAAGACCGTCTGGTGACCCCAGAGGAAAGGACTGGCACAGAGCTCCGTGGTGCATGGAGGTAAGTGCGGCCGTCACCCGATCTTGCTTTTTTTAGTCCGCGAGTACCCGACCTGGAGCAGAACTCTGACCCGAGCTGCCACAGTGAGAGCTGGAGAGATGCAGCAGCACTTGTTCCAAAGCCAAATGTTACTTCTCCCACGCTACACACACTATATCCGTGCAACAACCAAAGTACATGTGTATCTGCGCAACAAGCACATCATCGGAGAGATTTTTCAGTGCCGCTAGAAATATTGTAACTCCGGGGGAAGGGGGGGAGTGGGTGCGATATCATCACACACTGCACTGTTGAGCCACTAAACCGCACTGCAGGATAAATTCTCTAACCGCGACAGCCCTGTATATGAGTTTGGAGATTCGATTCGAAATGTGATTAATTGCACAGCCTTAGCTCTACCTTACATTGATTCAATTGCAAGTGGTTTTAAACCTCAAAAATAGCTAGAAAAACAGGCATTCTGACTGTGAACGGGGTCGCCTCTCCACAGATCTGACCTGTAACTTAATTTGGTTTGGGCTGTATGAAGATAGACATTGTAAGACCATACTGTGAAACATTCCAGACAAAGCAATAACATCTCTAAGTAAGGGACTGTTGGATTGTGTGAAATGAGCTGTGTGTTTTTCCCGTATCCACGGATAATTTACAGGAGGTAAACCATGGACCTTTGAGATGCTCGAGCGAAGCCTGTTTAAATTGGAGAAATTTAATTGGAAACACTAAGACAAATAAATTACAACACCTTTATAGTGTTAAATGAAGGTTTAAACTGCCAGAAAAATGTCGTCCTTGTGCTTAAACTGTCCCTGCATTTTGGATGGAGTTTTTCACCACTACTTTTTATGTAGTACTTAGTAGTATTTTTGTATTTTTCTGCCCATCAACCAAGTAATAATTAAACTTTTCAACGGTTTTGGGTTTAATCTGCTCACATAGTCAGATTTAGCTCTTTAGTGTGTAAAGGTTTTAATCCTAATCAATGTTTACCAGACCAGGACTGAGACCGAGATCAGACCAGGACTGAGACCGAGATCAGACCAGGACTGAGACCGGTTTAGTCCTGGTTTAGTCCTGGTTTAGTCCTGGTTCAGTTCTGGTTCAGTCCATATGCAGAGCAAAAGTGCGGCATTGCAGTTTAAGTATTTGTTTTTTCCATTATTCATTTAAACACAAAATCGAAAACTGGAAAAAAAAAACAACAACAACAACAACAACAAAAAACTAATAGTTATTTAAAAAAAACAAAAAACTAATAGCTATCTTTTTTAGGTTTTGGAGACAAATAATGATGGAAATTGTTTTTTGTTTTTTTTTCTGTTTTCTTATTTTTAGTTTTATTTTATATGGATGTTTTTTGTGTGTGTGTGTGTGTGTGTGTTGATGACATCTCACCGCAACTTCCTATATTTTTGTACTTTTCTGCCCACCAACCAAGTAAAAATTCAACTTTAGGTTTTGGGTTTAATCTGTTTGCATAGTCAAATGTACTTAAATGGAAACCAACGACTCAGCTGTTTCGAGTGTATAGGTTTTAATCCTAATCAGTGCATACAGTAAGACGTGTCCTTGAGCAAGAGATTTATGTACGAAAATGAGTTCTTCAATTTTGACCCATTTCTTTTATCAATTTTCAGGTTTTTAATTTCATCGTCTGCACATACACTCTTCAGATCCAGTTAGTTTTGCTCATTGAAAACAGGAAGACCCCGCTGAGACCCCGTTAAGTGTTTTGTGTGGTATATATGAATACACGGATGGATATGGATAAAGAAAACAGATTCTATTAAGTGCGCAACATATTTATATATTTTTGCAAGGTCCATATCTCGAAGAACTTTCAGGGTCGACCGCAACTTCCCTTTCTTCCTGTACAGCGTCTGCCTTGGATGTCTTTGTTTGCGTCTATTTATTTCATTTATTACTTTTTTAAAATTTCAATTAAGAACGAAAAACAATAAAATGGGAAAACAGTTTGTTGTTTCATTATTTCGTTTTAGTGTCAAACAAAAAAACAGATTTCAACCTCTATTTCTAATATTTAAAGTTTATTTCAAATAACACCAATCAAAAAACAGTCTTGGTGCCTAGTTTAATTTTGATATTTTATTCTCTCTGGTTTATTTGCCTTGGAAGTTCTGCTGCTAGAAGGACTTAGTTGGAAAATCGTTGCAATTTTTTGGACAAACATGTCTTCCTCTTTTATAGCGACGCGTTTACTTTCATGTTTCAAAAAGTCATTGTTGAACTCCATGACAAGAAAAAAGTAACAGCAATAAACTCTCCTTTGTTCAGTTGACACCATAGAACTATAATAAAAATTGTTTTTATTATAGATCCATGGTTGAGAAGCAGAACTTCCGGATCAGATAAACCAGAGAGAATAAAATATCAAAATTAAAATCGTCACCAAGACTTTAAACTTTAAATTAAATACTGGAAATAGAGGTCGGAATCAGTTTTTGTTTTTGTTTGACACTAAAATGGAATAATGAAATCACAAACTGTTTTCCCATTTTACTATATTTCGTTCTTAATTGAAAATGAAAAGAATGAATACCTGAATGATACTTGGACCGATTCAGAATACACTAATACTATATTCAGACTGCAGGGCTTAACGCTCAATTCGAATTTTTTTGTGAAATCTGATGTTTTGGCGAGGTTGTTCACATTTCCAATTAAATGCGACTTGTATGTGTGAACTTTAAACGGCCAAAAAGTGTTACGCACTGGAGGACACAACGACATCAACCACAGCGAGCGTGCTCTGTGTTTACGGAAGTTGTCCAAACATGGACACGAGCATTGAGCACCTGGTTTTTAAAGTTCCTCTCGTACCAGAGCCAGAACATGAACAACTTGCTTGTTTTAAGGAGGAGATTGAGAAGGAGAAGGACGAGGTTTGTGGTCGTGGTGTTTTGTGGGGCAGTGGCAGCAACGTCTGTTGAAAGGAACGTGTGGATGTGGAGACGTAGCCAAGAATGGTGAGTGCTTCACTTCAGTGACACGGAGTTCATTAACAATTTTTGCCTACTTCAACGCAGAGTAGTGACGTTTGTGGCTTGTTGATAACGTGTAGGTTAGATGAATGCGCTTTGGCCGTTCAGACTGAAGTCGCATGTAAAAAGATTGGATATGTATCGGTTTCAGGACCACATATCCAAGTGGCCTGGGTCACATTTGAAAAAATCTGATCTGTGTTCGTCATTAAAATTTGGGTCACATAGGGGCCAAAAAATCAGATTTGGGTCACTTCAGGCTGCAGTCTGAACGTAGCCTTAGACAATCTCTTCATTTTCAGATGGCTGTGATTGATTAAGTTAAGATAGTTTCTTTAGTAATTATTTATAAATGTGTTTACTAGTACATGTCCAAATATAATCATCATATTTTCTTGTTTTAATACAATTTATGCTAAAATGATCAGACAGAAACATTCTTAGAGAATGTATTACAAATGTATTACAAAGATCATTTTACATTCAAAGACTATTCAATTTCATTTTTCTTTTAAATCTGAAATACTTGCTGGTAAATGCTTGCGTAGCCCCAGGAGTCCCCGTACCTCAGAACAGTGGATTAGACAACAAATTTGTTTTACAAGAAAAATTAAATATTGCAAGAGATTGAAAAACTTTTGCAGTTTTCTAATTCTAAAGTCACCGCACCGTTAAAGCGCCCACATCCCATTTTCTAATCTTTGTCATAATGTTGTTTCTTTATCCGTGTATCATTTGTTCATTTGTTTTTCAAAATAAAACTAAAAATAAGAAAGCGGACAAACAACAATTTTCTTCATTATTTGTCTCCAAAACCAAAATGCATACGGACTGAACCAAGACTGAACCAGGACTGAACCAGGACTGAAACAGGACTGAAACAGGACTAAAACAGGACTAAAACAGGACAAAAACAGAACTAAAACAGGACTAAAACAGGACAAAAACAGGACTAAAACAGGACTGAAACAGGACTAAAACAGGACTGAAACAGGACTGAAACAGGACTGAAACAGGACTAAAACAGGACTGAAACAGGACTAAAACAGGACTGAAACAGGACAAAAACAGGACTAAAACAGGACAAAAACAGGACTAAAACAGGACTAAAACAGGACTGAAACAGGACTGAAACAGGACTGAAACAGGACTGAAACAGGACTAAAACAGGACTGAAACAGGACTGAACAGGACTGAAACAGGACTGAAACAGGACTGAAACAGGACTAAAACAGGACTGAAACAGGACTGAAACAGGACTGAAACAGGACTGAAACAGGACTGAAACAGGACTAAAACAGGACTAAAACAGGACTAAAACAGGACTAAAACAGGACTAAACCAAGACTGAATGTCGGGATGGGCCCGGAGGTGCACCCACATAGACTGTAGGGTGTTCAGGACTGAGACCGGGACCAGAGTGGGACTTAGACAGGGACTTAGACTGGGACTGAAACCGGGACCAGACCAGACCAGGACTGAGACCGGGACCAGACCAGAACTGAGACCAAGATTGAGGCCAGGACCAGGACTGAGACTGGGACTAAGACTGGGACAAGATCAGGACTGAGACTGGGACTAAGACCGGGACTGTGACCGGGACTGAGACTGGTTTCGACCTGGTTTAGTCCTGGTTCAGTCCTGGTTCAGGCTTGGTTCAGTCCTGGTTCAGTTCTGGTTTAGTCCGTATGCAGCTCAAAAGTCCAGCATCGCAGTTTAAGTGACAGAAATGGGAAACAACCGTTATCATTTTTTTTTTTTTCCATTATTCATTTAAACACAAAATCAAAAATCTTTAAAAATGAATCGTTATCCGTTTTTACATTTTGGTTTTGGAGACAAATAATGAAGCAAATTGTTGTTTTTTTCATTTTCTTATTTTTAGTTTTATTTTGAAAAACGAATGAACGAATGATATAGATTTTTCTTTATCACAAACATATCTGGAGTTGTGTTTTGTTTCATTCGCACACGCTGCACATTTCGAGTTCTCTCAAACAGAAAACACTGTTCCACCTTGTGATGTCATGTGGTAATACAGGAAGTGCTCCACTGTGTTCTTAAATTCCACTAGAATATTTTTTATTTCCTCAACCCTGGAATTTCCAATCCCTCCTGAACAAAATATAAAAGGAGCTGTTATCTTGAAAACTACCTCTTCGTGACATCACAAGGTGGAAGAGTGAATTTTGAGATTAGATTTAGAATAATAAAGGGAAACAAAACACAAATCCAGGTATGTTTTTGATGAAGAAACATTATAACATGAATAAAAGCTCACAATAATCAATAGGACCTTTAATTAAAGGTTGTATGGAGGATTTTTTTTTTTTTTTTTTTGTTTCAAGTTGTCAATGATAGCATTATAGAGGTGCAGTAGCCTTGTAATTATGATGACCAAAAAAAAGAGAATAAAAATTCATCAACTCTGGACGTGGTGGGGCTAAACATTTGCCAATAGATAACGACACTGCCTCGTTATCTGTTAGCTGACAGGCTGTCAATCAATCTCCCTACGTTTCTAGCGTAACTGACTTGCCTGCGCGCCGCCGGTACGTGGTTTACGTACGCCTGTCACGCAGTCCACAGACGCAAGACGCACAGACGCTGTTTACTCCACCAACGCAACAGTTCTTAGCGGCTTTTTTTTTTACCTATATCTTCCTCGCAGTTCGCACAAAGTTTGTTGCAATGGCGACAAGAATCCAGGAGCAGTTAGCCGCAAAAGAAAGTCCGTTTTTGAGGTCGCTGAAAGAAGAAAACAAGGGGAAAAGCAGCGAAGCCAAACTAAGGTGATTCTTATAGATTCATTCCAGCGATGGCGCGACTGAAGCAGACGCAGGGTCTAAAGACTGACGCACTGGTCGCCAAAATTACTCCTGGACAGGAAACTTCTGCTTATTATGAAAACGTACTTTATTTCCAAGAGCTAGACAAACGTTTTTCAGGACACGAAAGCGATATCCTATGTCTGAAAACGTAATTTTCAAGGCAAAGAAAGAGTCCGCTTGCTGCTGCGTGTTGTAGCTAGTTCATTCGCACTGAATCTCCGCGCACCCTTCTCTGCTCTCCTTTCCTGCTCCTCTCCCCGCTGCCCGATCCGCTCTTCCCCCTGCTCCTCACTTCTCCGGGCACGGAATCTCCGTGCACCGCTCCCCTCTCCTCTCTCCTCTCCCTGCTCCCTGCTCCGCTCTTCTCCCTGCTCCTCACTTCTCGTCCGCGAACGAAATGTCCGCACACCCGCTCCCCCCGCTCCTCACTTCTCCGTCTTGCCTAACCAACACTGTAGTTAGTTGTTTACAAGTCATGTGCAGCGCACCGGCTGTAAACAAACCTGTTTCTGGTGTAAAGAGGAGGCGGGAGGAGGCGTTTCTACGTAGGAGCTGTAGGGGAGGGGGGTGGTTTCACACATGCGCAACATTTGAAAAAGGACAAACAGTCGCTGGATTTCTCGTTCCTTGGAAAATCCTCTATACAACCTTTAAATATACATTTCTGGTTAAATCCACAATTTTCTAGCTAGATTTAGTTTTCCTCAGTGTTTTATTATAAGTCATGAAATTTCAAACTTTTTTTTTTTTTTCACATAGTCTTATAATAATGTTACACTCACTCAATTATAATAAATACCCATGCAGTATTTGCCAGCGCGGGTGTCGGCCATGTGGAGGACATCATTATAAGTGATGGGGTACGGCCTTCGCCCACTCACCCCAAGCACAGGACCTGCCGGAGAGGCTAGCATGCTAATGACGCATCCTTCACCTGCTCCCGGGCTTCATTAAAACTGAATGGAGAGTCTTTGATTTGTCTCTGCTTATTTTGTGTACAGTGTAGTGTGCAATAATTGGAAATAAGAATGTGGTATTGTTATGGAAAATCTAAATTATTATTATTATTGGAAGGTTCATATTACACTATTTTCTGGTCTATGTTATAATGTACTTTACAATAACACAACTCCAGGTCTGTTTTTGGTGACGTAACCGCATTAAAATATGGCCAAAAGCTAAATGTTGTGTAATATAGGCACTTTAAATCTGCAATGAACGATTTTTTCTTGTAGATTTTGTTTTGTTTCATAGACTATATTGTGAAAGTAGTTCATTATGACAAAATCAAACCAAAGATTATATCTAAAATGCAAACCTGGAAGAAAGAGCCTGATAAAATCTCCATGGAGACAAGCCGTAGTATCCATCACAAAAGTATAGTATAACTTTAGAACTTTTTCAGGTGGAGGGGATTAGTTCTGGTTTAGTCCTGGTTTAGTCCTGTTTATAGACCTGGTTTAGTCCTTGTTTAGTCCAGATGTAGTCCTGGTTTAGTCCTGTTTATAGACCTGGTTTAGTCCTTGTTTAGTCCAGATGTAGTCCTGGTTTAGTCCTGGTTTAGTCCTGTTTATAGACCTGGTTTAGTCCTTGTTTAGTCCAGATGTAGTCCTGGTTTAGTCCTGGTTTAGTCCTTGTTTAGTCCTGATGTAGTCCTGGTTTAGTCCTGGTTTATAGACCTGGTTTAGTCCTGGTTTAGTCCAGATGTAGTCCTGGTTTAGTCCTGATTTAGTCCTGTTTATAGACCTGGTTTAGTCCTTGTTTAGTCCTGATGTAGTCCTGGTTTAGTCCTTGTTTAGTCCTGATGTAGTCCTGGTTTAGTCCTGGTTTATAGACCTGGTTTAGTCCTTGTTTAGTCCAGATGTAGTCCTGGTTTAGTCCTGGTTTAGACCTGGTTTATTCCTGGTTTATAGGCCTGGTTTAGTCCTGTTTATAGACCTGGTTTAGTCCTTGTTTAGTACCAGATGTAGTCCTGGTTTAGTCCTTGTTTAGTCCAGATGTAGTCCTGGTTTAGTCCTGTTTATAGACCTGGTTTAGTCCTTGTTTAGTGCCAGATGTAGTCCTGGTTTAGTCCTGGTTTAGTCCTGTTTATAGACCTGGTTTAGTCCTTGTTTAGTCCTGATGTAGTCCTGGTTTAGTCCTTGTTTAGTCCTGATGTAGTCCTGGTTTAGTCCTGGTTTATAGACCCGGTTTAGTCCATGTTTAGTCCAGATGTAGTCCTGGTTTAGTCCTGGTTTAGACCTGGTATATTCCTGGTTTATAGGCCTGGTTTAGTCCTGTTTA